GGAGTCACGGAGAGAGTTGTCCCTCCGGAAAGCAGATAAAGGTGGGGAGGGAAAGATGTCTTTGGTGGTGGGGTCGGATTGCAGATGGCGGAAGTGTCGGAGGATGATGCGTTGGATCTGGAGGTTGGTGGGTACTCCAAGCTTTTTACCTACTGCTTCTGAAACAAACATTCTGGCACCACTGTGGCTACACCTCTCTGCAAGAGAAATGGCCCAGAATAAATCCCTCTTAAAGGCACAGTACTGTCATACACCCACTTCTGATTCCCTCATTGGCAAATTCTGTTTTGTTATCCATTAGGAATTTAGCCAGTCCTCTCAATCCCGTTCATATTATCTCATCAATAATAAATTTATTGTCTTTACAATAAATTACTGTTGACCAATTAAACCTAGTCGCTCTGTCTACAGACCGTAGGATAAAACATATTTTGTCTTATCCCCTACCTTGAGGTCCATCAGGTCCTTTTAATTAAAATCTGTCACCAGTGGAAGACTTACTATTGATCACAAAGGCATTTTCTCTATTTTTTGCAAATATCACAATGTTCATTAATATCCTTTCTGAGTTTAGTGTATTATTCCTCATCTAGTGGCCCTGCATTCTTTAATGGAATCTTCAACTTATGACAAGTTGGAATGCAAACCGTAGATGTAGCTTTGAAATAATTTACTTCAGTTCCTATATATTCCTCTACCTGGATGCCATTAATTTCTCCATAACATTCTACTTAAAGATGATCAGCATCGCTAAGAAAATGCTATAGTAACCTGACTCTGTAAATTGCAAATTTACAGATCTCCCAAAGATATTGATTTATTATACTCCATATCTAACTTTGTTTGGCCTTTTTTATTTGAAGGTTCATTTAACAGTAAAGGCATTTCACTGGATTTTGCTGTCCAGCCCATATACTGTCCATTCACAGCCGCTATATAGAACCGCACAATTGAACAGATTTGTTGCCAGGATGGCTCACTATTGGTATGAAGCTTCTAGTGACCAATATGATTCCTTATGATTGGTCAGTGTTATCCTTCTCCCCTTCATTATCTTCCCTGTCATGTCATCTCAAAAACTCAGTTATTCCTTTTCGGACAATTCCACACACACTGATAGTTTGAGTCACACCTGAAACATTAATAAATGTGTCCATGGTTATTCCTGGGGTTCATCCTTCCGTAATTACCTACCTCCTGTTGCCTTTTGTAGCTGTCAAAAGTGATTCTAGTTTAATTTTTTTTTCACACTGCTGCTAGAGCCCTGTATTAGAAAGGTCTAGAAATGTTGCCAGCTTATATCCTCCATTTTCGGTGTTACTGTTGTTAAACTTGAAAGGGTATAGAAAAAAATTACCAAGATGATGCTGGGGTTGGAGGGTTTGAGCTATAGGGAGACGCTGACAAGACTGGGGATATATTTCCTGGAGCATTGGAGGCTGAGGTGTTACCCTATAGAGGATTATAAAATCATGAGGGGCATGGATAGGGTGCGCAGGTAGGGGAGTCCAAAACTAGAGGGCATAGGTTTAACGTGAGAGGGGAAAGATATAAAATGGACCTAAGGGGCAACTCTTTTTCATGCAAAGGGCGGTGCGTGTATGGGATGAGCTGCCAGAGGAAGTGGTGGAGGCTGGTACAATTACAGCATTCAAAAGACATCTGGATGGGTATATGCATAGGAAGCATTTATAGGGATATGGGCCAAATGATGGCAAATGGGACTAGGTCAGTTTGGGATATCTGATCGGCACGGACGAGTTGGACCAAAGGGTCTGTTTCTGTGCTGTATTACTTTATGCTGATGAGCCCATTTGTAACTTGAAAGAGGCCAGACATGAATCCTTTCTCAAAAGCATTAGCCATCTGATCTAGAAGCATGTCACTGTCTTGAATCTAACCCTGGCTGAAGCCAAGACCCTACTCAAGTTTGATACTCTGGCACAATCCAACCATATGAAGGAAGGTACAGATGTAGAAGTTTACAAGTGGAATCACTGCAGTCTCACACAACACTCACTAGTCAGTTAAAGTCTGATGCATTTTTCTGTGCCTCCACTTTAGTAAACGTATCAAAGTCTCATCAAGCTTTGTAGGCATTCAATAAATTATCTTTCACATTTTTTCGCATAAAGTTTAAGGGAATGTCTGCACCTCCTTCAGTGTCAAGTTGCTGAGCAGGATAGGCTTGAGGGGACGTGTCTGATTCCTGCTCCTATTTCTTGTGTTCTAATGATTGTGATTGGCTTACTAAAAGTAGATAAAATGAACTTTGTTACCCATTTGTGAGTGGCAATCCCAGGAGTTTTGACATAACATTAGAAGTAAGGGCCAGGAGGAAACCAATGGCCTGTGAGGTTGTGTATCTTTGGAATTCTCGTGATAGTGTAGATCCTCCATCGTTCAGTACACTTAAGGTTAGCTTGTGTTCTTGATCTACTGAATTTTCAAAGAGATAATCTATTAGAGATTCAAAAGAATAATCTGTCACGATGGGAGGAGAATATTAATAGGTATCCCATCTGTTCTTTTAGTTCTGGAAGTTGTTTTTCCCAAAATGTTCGAAAATAAGTTGTACCTTTTTTTTTTTTGGCCACGTGCTCTATTTTGAACCCTGATGCCCCATTGGTGGAGTTTGACATAAAATGGCTGTTCTGACTTGCTACTCACCGCACTCACACAGCCTTAACCAGCACTGGAAGTGCTTAAGTCAAGTAAATGATTATAAAGCGGCTGTAAGTTTGTTACTCAGCGTGCCTCAGCAGAATTAGAATCTCAGTGTATCATTTGTCTTGCTTTTCAGAGCCTTGCTAAACTAACAGATGAATTCAGGAATAGCTGCTGCATTGAGAACTCCCTGCAGGATCTCCAGATGAATGCAAGCTTGGCCTCTGAGTGTTTACCACAGCAATACTGCGAAGCAAGTTCACAGACTGACATCATCGGTGAGGTATGTTTTCAAATGCAAAGACCTATTTATTAACTCTGGCTAATTTTCATTGTCACTTCAGACTGCATTTGCAGAATCTGTCACGCTCATGTGCATTAAGAAAGCAAAATGAAAAGCTCTGGGTTTTTCCTTTTGTTTCTGTAACGACAAGAGACTGATGTTGTAAGGAAGGAATATGGCATGTTTTTTGGGATGTAATGATGTGCCTGAGAAACTGCCCAGTCTGATGGGAAACCACCTCCAAGTCCCTGAGCAGTGTTAGACCGGATTGGAAATGACTCTGTTGGTTTAGATCAACAATTAGGGCAAGTAAACGATCCTGGCTGTTACCTGATTTGTTTAATCTAGTACTGAAAATGTCAATGGACTAAAAGATTTGTAAATCTGATGTCAATGACCTTGAAACAACATCCACACTGAAATAGGTGCTCCAGTAAGTGATAAAGTCATTTGGACAGCATCTAATAGATGTATAAAAGGGATGTAGTTGAATGGATGGAGAAGTACATATGACCTTGCATTGCTAATGTCAGAATACAGATTTGTGTAGCCTAAATAAGGATTGAAGTTCTCCACAATAACTACATGGATTTTGCAACAATAATCTAACTGTTTAGTCCTCAGTCTGGTGGTGTAACTGTTGTTCACTTGTGTTTCCCCCACTTCCTGTTCTTAAACTCTGCCCATACTGCTTCCACTCCCTGGTTTGTCTGAGCCAAAATCCTTTCCAACCACTGTCCTTCCATCATCCTTTATAATCAGTGCAATTCCATTCACTTTCCCATTATGCCAGTCTTTTTGAAAGATTGTGTATCCTGGGATATTATTTCCCAGCACATTTAAATGGGACCTGAGGGGCAACCTTTTTACACAGAGGGTGGTGTGCACATGGAATGAACCATCAGAGGAAGTGGTAGATGAAGGTGCAGTTACATTTAAAAAAACATTTTGGACAGGTACACGAATAGGAAAGGTTTAAGAGAGATGTTGGCCAAATTCAGGCTAACGGGACTAGTTTAGTTTGGGAAACTTTATCGGCATGGACAAGTTGGACCGAAGGGCCTGTTTCCGCGCTGTATGATTCTATGACTCTGATATCATTGCCATTACAGAATAATCTATTTATCCCTCCACTAATTCATTTATCTTGTTACAAGTGCTTTATCTACTTGGCCAAAGAGCATTAATTTTATTTTTAAATTATTATTTGTTGCATGGAGATAATACGTATCATGAAAAGTATTTTACTGCTCTATTGCCTTGATTTTTCTGTTAAGATTTGGAACAACCTTTGGAACCTCTGCAGTTGTGGCTGTCACCCTGACCATGTCGTCCCTTATCGCTACCACATTATAATATCTGTATTCTCCCTCTCCACCACCCCACTCTTCATGCACTATGGTGTTTGCACAAGTGCCCTGCTACCCTCAAACCAAAAAAACAAAACTGCGGATGCTGGAAATAGGAAACAAAACCAAAAACTTCTCTCCACAGCTTTCTCTCTCTGCAGATGCTGCCAGACCTGCTGAGTTTTTTTTCCAGCAAATTTTTGACTCTCTGCTATCGTTGTTCTCGTCCACCCAGGTACAAGTACACTACTTTACACTTGTTAATGTGTGTCAACCATTGAGGCTTCTTTGTCACTACATCCTGGATCCTCGTAGCTAACAGCAAGGATGAGTTTTTGTAGGAAGAGTGGTAGGAACATCCAAGATGCAAAAGATGGTTTAATATGAACATGGATTGGATAAGAGCTAGTGGTTGTGTGATAGACCAGACAAAAATAACTGTCAGTTTGGGTACCTTTCAAATAGGCAAGTGGCCTGAATACCTTTTGTAGCCCGCACACATCCTGATTGAAACGAGGAGCAAAGGTAGACGAAAGCAGCCCTGGATAGGGAAAGTCAAAAACAACTTGTCAGCAAAAGGGATACAATGACTGGACAAGCACTAGTCATACTGGACTTGAAATGTTCACTCTATTTCTGTCCACAGATGCTGCTAGACCAGCTGTGTTTGTTTTGGGCTAATTTGGCTGTTTGTTTCTGAGCTGCTTTCTCAATTGTAGCTTGCTCCTACCTCTTCAGCAACTGATAAATGCCAATTGACTTTCAATGGTCAAATAGCGATTTGAAAATCCTTTTCATCAAAATAATACTTGAACCAGAGGCAGTTGTTCTGCTTCTTTGTGAAGGAAACTCCAGTGTATGGCATATGTGTTAGATACAAAACTTTACATTATTAATTCCTTCATTCATTCATCCCATGTATATTCTCAATTTATGTAATTCAGCTTCCTACTTTTGAGAATCAAAAAGGAGATCATTTCACTTCACTTCCGGAATGCAGAAATGATTGGCAATGATGCTCAATTGTTTGCAACTTGCATATAAGTTTCAAATCCATCCTTTCAGGGTTATTTATTTGTGGATTGTACTCCTTTTGAAGGATAAGGTTTGATTGGCTCATGTCATGATCCTGCTCTAGGAAGGATGTAAATCATTTCCAAAAATAAAGTCTGGAGAAACTCAGCAGGTCTGGCAGCATCTGTGGAGAGAGAAAGACAGAGTTAGCATTTCAAGTCCAATTCAAGGTGTTAAAACTGCTTTCTGTCTCCACAGATGCTGCCAGACCTGTTGAGTTTTTCAGCAATTTTTGTTTTCATTTCAGAGCTTCAGCATTTCCAATAATTTGCTTTTGTTTAAATCATTTGTAAGGACTGTTGCTCATCTTGTTTAAACAATGCAGTGCCCAGTCTGGCTACTGGAGACTGTGGCTTCTTTGGTCAGTATGCATTTGTATACAGATAGAAGGCACATTTTTGCAAACAGTTATATGCTCGCTAGCAGCTTTTTACATTGTTGACTTGACCTTTACTTCAAAGTATTTTGTCCTTTTATATAAATATTCTCATATGAGCCAAGTCCCCACTTCCAATGCAAACATTTGCGATACATCTGAACTAAGAGTTTAGGATTTGTCCATGTTTGCTGTTAATAAATTTTAATGCTTTTCCTTTTACAGTTTTCATCTGATGGAAGGTCGAAACTAGCAGACAGAGTTCGACTTAGTTGGCAGTATGAGGAAGCTAAGAAGAGGTAATTAACATTCAATGTACTCACAAACAATCTTTGTCTCTCAATTCTTAGCTGTCTTTTTCCTTCTTATTAATATACTTTTCGTTTTGGAGAAGGATTGTGTTGGGGAATCTGTTGGTTACAAGTTTTTGGCAAAATAACATGTTGTGAAGTTTCTGAGGGCCATGAGGTCACATGACAGCCGATCTTGGGTAGAGTCATGCAGGGAATACAGTTTTCCTCCGTTTCAGGGAGAAACCAATCGATTTTGTCACAGCCCTTCACTGGCTACTGCCCTCTTGCTGGGATGTGGGCTGGGCAGTCCAGCTTAGCTGACGTGTAGTGTGCCATTGCATAATCTTTTGGCTCTTACTGACCAGTGCTCACTTGGTTAAGCACAGAGGTCAGCAAACATTGGCGAGGGGGCACTCCTGTACCCCAGAGTGGTTGGCACTTTCATCAGAGGAAGGAATCTGGATGCTACACGTCACTGCAAGAAACGTAAACCCATTAAATGATGTCCTGCTTGCTTTTTTGCCGTCACTTCTAAGTTTAAGCCATATATGTCGTGTACAATGTTGAGAAATATTCAGTCTCTCAGCATTTGCCAAAGATCGTTAGACAGCACCTTCCAAACCCACGACCGCTTCCGTCTAGAAGGACAAGATACGTGGATGCACCACCACCTCCAAGCCACTCGCCATCCTGACTTGGAAATGTATCGCTGTTCCTTCACTGCTGCTGGGTCAAAATCCTGGGATTACCTTCCACGCGCATTGTGGGTCTACCTACAGCACCTGGACTGCAGCGGTTCAAGAAGGCAGCTCACCACCACCTTTTCAAGGGGCAACTAGAGATAGGTAATAAATGATGGCCCAGCCAGCGACACCAACATCCTACAAGTGAATTTGAAAAGGAAGGATATCCACTGCCTAGTGCAGAGTTTACCAATTAAATTAAATTAAGGAATGGCAAGGAAAAGACCAGATGAGGTCAAAAAGCAGGTTATTTTGCCCCTTTTGCCTTCTGCACGATAACCAGTTCTGGAGAAAGTGAGTAGTGTTTTCACTGGAAGAGTCATAAAGTGAGGGTAAGTGCGTTGAATATATTGAGTAGCTATTATCTTCTGTGGTCACATTCTTCATTTATCACGCATTTCTGTCCTTGGTTTGTTAGGATTACTGGAAAGCCTGTGTGTTTACATGCATTACAGTGTTTTCACTCTAGCTCTCTCTGGTGGATGTCAGTACACAATGGGCGAGAGAATTTGCTGTGCTGTACTACGTTTAAGCAAGAAATATGATTTCTGTCTGTCAACATTACATCAACAGTACGACAGGTTCCCCATATTTATCTCTTAAAGTTCAAGGGAATATTTAAACATATCAAAATGTACGCTGTAATCAGTTTTTGATTTTATTTTAAGGGAACATTTTTTATGAACAACAGAAAGTGTCAATATTTAAGATGAGGGAGATCTTTCAAGACTTGAAAAGTACCTAGACGTGAACTGACAAACCAAACAGCTACTTCATGCACTTGTTGGCAAGGTCAGCCTCAAGTTAAAGAAGGTCCTGGTATTTATATATGGCCTCTGGCAACCTCAGGATATCTCAAAGTACTGTACAATGGTTTGTTATCATGTAGGAAGTTAATTGTAAAATGAGTGCATTGTAGCTTAAGTAATAGAATGTTACAGTCTTGCAACTTATTTGCTTTCAAAGATGTCATAAAATGGACACATTTGACCACGCTGAATGAGAGCAAATTTGCCCAATCACCAAGTTGTCACTGCATTGAGAATCTTGGCTGCCTCCAATGTCCAGCAAACAGAGAGTCAGGATTTTGTGGAGGATTTCCTATAGTACAGCAGTGCTCACGCTAAAGATGATTACTCCAATAGCTGTATGTACTGAGGTTGTGAAGAGCATATTAATACAAGTTCTTCTTCCTTACCACTTGTTGTGTGACTGGTGGCATGATAACTCAGACATAACAGACTTTGAAGGTCTGTGACGTCGATATGGGTGAGGAGAAGGTCTCGGACATTCCTGGCTCAGTACGTTTTGTCTGTTACCTGTATCCTGCACTTTCAAATGGAGCTCAAACAGAGGCAGCCGCTGGATTCTCTTGTTAGATTAGTGAAATGCATACCATCTACAAGGTCAGCAGTCATACCAGAGCTGCTCTTTGTACTCAAAATATACCCATGGCCCTGAGGGAATAAGGCAACATTTAGTACTAATTGAAAGGGACGTAATCACAGGGTGGGCTCATTAGACGTACGCTTTAGGACCGTGAGTAAATCATCTTGATTGCTTTGGCAGAAAGGTGAACATTATCAGCCAGAATCAAATTGGGGCCCCCTTAGCAACACCTGCTGGCCGTGCACATTTACTGCTCCCATCACTGCCCTCCTCTTCAAAACGGCGTAGGAGAGTTTGGGACTGTGAGAGTGGGGGAAAAAAAGAATAACTCTCTGCTGCAAATGATTTGTTACTGGTCGGCAATATTCCCCATTCTGCAGGGTGGACCTTGACTTGGTGAAACAATGTAAAATCGGAGAGAGTGAGGTTTTTAACCCCTCATCGCTGCTTTTCCCGTGAGCTGCCACCACGTGAGGAGTCTCCCGACAGAGACTGAATCCAGTCTCAGGAGGTCCTGCATGTGTTTTGCTGGTTATTTTGTGAATTCACTGTCACTGTAGCACTCCAGCTCTCAGCTTATCCTGCTGCAGCGTTTGTACGTTGTGCAGAATTGCTCAGTTTTCCTGGGCTGATGAGGTGGGGTGGAGGGGTGGTTAAATCAGCCCCCCTACAACGGGGCGGGGGTAAGGCATCTCCCCACGACTGGGAGGGGACTATAACAGGTCCCCACAGTGGAGTGGGGGTGTGGGTAAAGCAGCTCTCCACTGTATAATGGTATAGCGATGATGTCATTGAAGTTATAATGTAGACTGTTCACCCAGAGAGCACTTCAGTTTGTGAACTTCAGAAACTGGAAGTAATTGTCTGCAATTGCTAAAATTCCCCATCAGACTGTCTGAACCCACCAGGCCTGTAAATGTCTAAAGGGAATGAAATCAGTGCCTGTGTTTCTTTTCTCTGACTCCAGTTCCACACTAACGTGCCTGATACTTACCCTTCCCCTGGATGTGCAGTACGGAAAAACCATCAGAGAGACAGCCGGCACCAACAGCTTTATTTGGGTAATTTGGGATAAGAAATAGACAGCTGGTCCTGCTAATTCTGAGGATGAAATCTGCAAAGTGGACTGCATTCAACAAAATGTAGGGTGGAGAAGAGTGGTGATGATGGCATCGCAATGTTGGCTTTTTTATGTTTCATTTTGAAATCGTAACTACACTTATCATTAACCATTTCCTGTTGGTGTATGATTGTAGCTTTGCTTCGATAGTACCCATGGCTTTAGCCCCTGCCTTCTTTTTCTCTCTCTCACACACTCTCTCTCTCTCTTTCTCTGTTTCTGCACTTCCCCACCTCTGTCCTGCAGAGTTTCCAGTATCCAGCTACAGCTGGCTCAGTTGGACAACGAGAGCTGGCCAGGCAGGGCTGAGGCAGACTGGGACCGTCTGCAGCTGATCAGGGAGAAAGAGGCACTGCTCCAGGAGCTGCAGCTCATCAGTCAGCAGAAACGCCTGCCCGAGGAGCTGGCTCGGCTCGAGGCGGAACGCCAGCGTCTGGAAGACGATATCCAGCGTGCACAGTCCATTCCCTGTCAGGAATTCGCTGAAAGGTTCGTGTATCTTTTGCAGCAACTTTTTTCTTTTGTAGCCGGGAATGTGAACTAAAACGTCTCGCCCACTACCGGACCACTCTCCTTGATATCACCAGAATCATCCAATGTGGAAGGTGGCCATTTAATCCACCATGAATGTTCTGGCTCTGTGTAAGGTCTATCCAATTGATCCATTGTTCCCCATAAAAGCTCTGCTACTCCAACACCTTTTTAAATGTAGGGGAACATCTGCAAGCACTTCCCAGGAACAGAATCACAACAGGCCAGACACAAGTTTGGTTGAAGAGGTAGATTTTAAGGACTGATCTAAAGGAGAAAGGGTGAAAGAAAATGTTTAAGGGGAACACGTTAATTCACTTACCTGGCAACAGGGTCTTTGTTGTGACAGGATCAGCTACTTGAAGATAGTTGAGAGATATGTGTGTGTGGTCATTGGGTAGGGACCACTTAGTAAGAGATTGGTGGTACACCCAGCCCATTCCACCACAACCTGCAGAGTCAAACTGCAATGATCACCATTGCTGTTGAACTTTGTCAAAAATCCAACATATGGTACATCTTCAGGAGGTGGGGGTCAGTTGTTCTTTGCCTTTTGGATAACTGATGCCTTTTCTTCCATATTTGCTTTAAAAAGACAACCAACTGCTTAAGTTAGAGAAAAGAAAAGTGGAGTAACTTTGACTTAGTTACATTGTAAGACAGGTAATTTCTGACCAGGTTCCCAATAAAATGAAAATGGGAAAAGTACTGTAATGACGCAGCTGATTTGTTACTCCGCCTTTTGTACTATTGTCCAAAGTCACAATCACCCATAATGAGTGAAATTTACCAAACTGTGTAATGCAGATTGAACATTTGAAATGTTCATCCTGCCTGCTAATATTTTGTACATTATGCACATTATTCTACTAACTGTACATGAGTTCAGTTTTCCCTATTTGACGGAACAGTACCAATGGTTAGCTCCATAGCTGCAAAAGATGTAGGAACTCCACCTCCAATGCCTGATGTGCCACTATGCTGTCACATTCTTAATGACATGACACAGCGTGTCTTTGAATTGTGGGTAAAATCCCAATTGTGGAGATTTTGAGCATAAACTTCAAGTGTTCTGAGGGAGTGCTGCACCGAGAAAGGTACAGTATTCCCTAGTAATGACTGCGTGATTATTCTTCCGTGTAGTGCATTGATGCTGTAGCAGTCAGCAGTCTGTGGAAATTATAACATTATGACACTGAGAGTTCCGTGAAGTTGCTGTATTATGTTCCACCATATTAGTTTTTTTAAATGCTGCTAAGGGAAAAGGGTGGGTCTTGTGGCAAAGTTTTCAAAAGCTCACTTAAAACAGTTATTGGGTCATTGAAGAGCAGTTTTAATGTCACAGTCAGAGAAGATTACATAGTTACTCAAAGGCAGGCAGAAAATAACTTCTTGTCTGTTCTACTGCGGAGGTGACTTAGGGCTACTGGCAGTATACATAACTAATAATATATTTGGGGGCTCCTTAAGAAGTTGAGCAGTTGTTCAACTCTGTGCAAAAGTCAGGAATTAGTTCTGGGAGTCAGTAGGTACAGCAACATATTGCAGTTAGGGCTAAGGATCAGTAATGGGTTGGTGGGGGGGGTAGGGACTGTATTCCAGGTGATGCATTGTATAAGTGAATAGAATAGAATAGAAATTTATTGTCATGTGTACTTTTACATTAAAAATACAGTAAAATGTTTTACAAGTCAGCCTACCACAATGCCTTTATTAATGACAGAAGTCAAAGGTAAAAAAATGTAAAATTAGGACAAAGTTCATCACTGTTCTGCTAACAGCTCCTGGGCTCGGGGAGAGCTGATTAAGGAACAATGGAAAAGCCTGAAGGCACAGAAGGAACTGCCAACTGTATGCCTCATTGTCTTCAAAAAATGTTTTAAAATTTATACACCCTTGCTACACAAATAGATGGATGCAAAGTTCTGTAGTAAAATAAATGCAGGATGGTCTGACAGACATGTATCATTCTTTTTCCAGTGTAGCTATGCCAAAACTGCAGCACCATGCTAGATTCTCATTTTCACCCCCTACGTGTTTGTTATCTCCTTGTAGAATGCTGTTGCAAGACAAGAGAAACTGTCTATTAAGGCAGCTGGAAGAAGCAACACGCTTAACCACGTATTTGCACTCGCAGCTGAAGAGGTTAGTGGATCTGTTAGAAGGGTCTGTACAAAACTGCATGTTATGTTATAAATGTAAACCAGATCCAGTTGATTCCATCTAGTTATCAACAATGTTATGCTGGTTTTTGGCAACAGGATTCATTCATAGTTATACATTTGCGTAGTTACCCATGTATAATAAGTGTGACGTTTGTTAGCGTAGTGGACCTGAAGATATGAATTCAAATCCCAAAACTGGTTTGTTCAAGGATTTAAATTTGATTTTAAGAAAACATCTGGAAATGAAAAGCTTGCGTAAGGCTTGTTGGATTTTTATTTTGTGAAAATGAAGGTAATGCCAAAAATCCGGCATCCTTACCAACTCTGTATGCTATGTGACTCCAGTCCCGCGCCAGTGTGATTGACTTCTTGATTGCGCTCTGAAGTGGCTGTGTGTGTCCCTCAGACTTGGTAGGTTTGCAAGCTGGGTTGCTGCTAGTGGCTTAGAGAATTCAATCTCCTTCAGCCAGCCTACAACAGCAAGGGGGGAAAAAAATCACATCAATTAAAAGCATAGATACAGCAAATGTTAGGTCATGTTTATTCAATTTGTGCAATGTTACTTGAAATGACCTATTTACTTCCTGTTACCATGCAAACAGAGGTGCTTAGGGGATGCTGTTGTTAAATGAAGTAGAGTCACACAGCATAGAAACAGGCCTTTGGCCTACTGTGTCTATGCTGTCCAACAAACACTAGGCTACACAAATTCCTTTCCACCTGAGCTCGGTATGTCCCAGCAAGAGTATGTTGGTACAAGTGTTGTGTCCATGCTGTAATAAGGAACATTATCAGTATCCTGTGATCTCACACTTGTAACTAAAACAATATTATTTATTTTGCAGCTTAACTGCTAGCTCGCTCACGGTGTCATCCAGCAGTAGTAGAGGTTCACTTGCATCCAGCTGTGGATCATTGGCTTCCAGTCGAGGTTCTTTAAGCTCGGTCAGTTTTACTGACATTTATGGCCTCCCACAATATGAGACCGATGCATCGATTGATTTGGGGTGCTATCTGCAGTTTGATCTGCTTCCGTTCGACACGATAGCCAAGGACCCTTCCTTTATCGACCATTTAGGACTGTCCAACTTGAGCAAGGCCAGGCGGTCTTTGGACCCGCCTCAGTCCTTGGCATCGCTCTCCTCTAGGTCCTCGCTGTCCTCGCTCTCGCCACCCAGCTCCCCACTCGACACCCCATACCTCTCCGCTTCTCGTGACTCTCCGCTGGCCCAGATGAACGAGGAGTTTGAGGAGCTGCTAGGAAGATCGGAGTCTGAAAACCTGCGACTGCAAGCCCAGGCTGTCTGTCACGATTTGCAGGAAGCTGCGTCTGCGCAAGTTGTTGGAGCTTCAGTCAGCGATATCAAGCTATGCCAAGATGTGGATCCCAGAGTGAGGCCAGCAATGCAGGGTGTAGGAGGTACAGTAACGCTGAAATGTAACATTTCTTTAGTGCTATTGTGACACTCAGTACCTGCTTGAAACTGGATTTGGTTGTGTCTGTTTGAATACTCAGAACAGATTAGCAGTTGTTTCTTTAGCTGCTGAGGACATTGGCAATGCTTTGGGATATTGCATGTTTTAGAGGAAGAAAGTGTCCTGGGATTACAGGTGCACAGATTACTAAAAATAACAACGTATTTTATTCAGTCCATTTCTAAAACGAAACCACCAAAGTACAGGGGCTTGTTTCTCAAGGACTAGATTTGAAAAAAGCAACTGTATCAAACTTGCATTGAATCTTTAAGTTGGTTGGACCACACTTTCAGTACTGTGAACAATTTGTGTCTCTTATTGTAGAAAAGAGCATTAGAAATGTTGCAAAATAAAAATTTCTCAAATAATGTCACAACTGGGAAGTTCTACCTTTCGAACAGCCCAGGGCCAATTTCTCAAGGAAATAGATGACTGAGGAGTGAGCTGATAGATGTTTTCCAATTATGAAAAGGTTTGTTAGGGAAGTCCTGAAGAAGATATTTCCAGTTGCAGGCAAGGCCAGAACTGGAAGCCACAAAAATAAGAAGGCACTTAGAAATTTACTAAGTATTTTAGGAGAAATTTCTTTAGCTAGATAGCAAGTGAATCTTGTTCCCATATAAAGCAGTTGTGGCAAATGGCAAAATAATCTCCCTGAGGGAGCCAGAGATAGAAGGATATTTAAATTAACTGATCCTAATAGGGTTAGATCACAAATATTAGAATGATGAGGTCCATAACACCAGAATTGGGCCGAATGACTGTTTATACTTTGCCAAAGTTTGTAATAATCACTGTATGACATTTGAATACATTTTTTGATAATGTGGATTTATATCCTCCAGCGGCTCGTTTCATATCAATGTCTTTTTGAAGTTCTTGCAGTACAATATGTCTCTGGTCCGTGATGAGTTTAAAATCTCCTGGTTAGGGTGTCAGAGGGAGCATTCCAATGGGTTGTCTTCGTGGATTCCTGACGGAAAATGCAACAAGGTAGATGTGGGGCGTAGGCATTGGGTGTAGACTGGGCGTTTACTGGATTGGAACAGTCTCACGGTCACAGCTGCTCAGCACGGGAAGATGTCAAGGCGTCGTCACTTGCTTTACACCATCGGTCAATGTGACAGTCTTTACGGTGTTACTCAAACGAAAATGATTCAAAGCATGTATGTTCCGGGAAAGGTAAACAGTAGGTATTTCTAAAGGCTGAATATACTGGTACTCACCAAGTTTACTAGCATGCATCACTTTAATTCATTACCACGTATTATATAATGGTGATGGCAGTGCTGTTTATGGAGATCCATGAAAAGATTACAAGGAAGAAAATGCTAACAGTATACAGACTAATTTGGAGTTCTAGTTAATATCTGCCACACAAAAAAAACTTGGGAGGAGAGCAGCATTTATGCATGATTGAGTCATCCCCAGATGTTTGGTGCCATCTTGTGGTGGTGTCATGTAAAAGTCACAGTCTGATTTTGAGAATGATGAGGCTGGATTTTTAACTCCCTGTAGCTGTGTGTGTTCGGGCGGGTGATCAGTCTGTTCCATTTTAGCAGCATTGTTCGCAGTGTTAACAAGGCACCGGCTACATGCACATGTAAAAATCAAGATCCTACAATGCAATTCCAATCTTGGTTTGGATTTAAGCCGGGGTGGTGCAGAGAGTTCTAGAGCAAGGGTCAGGAAGTTGTGTGGCTTGTGTCCTCCTTCATATTCCTTACGGAGGCCTGCCTGGTTTCTACCTTCCCTCCTTTCTCTTTTCCTGGCAGCCATCGTCTCTGGAATGCTCCATCACTTACATCACCTATTCAGAAGGTTATGTTTCTCATCACGTACACAAACAGAAGTTGCTGCAAAAGCTCAGCAGCTCTGGCAGCATCCGTGAAGAAAACATCAGAGTTAAGGTTTCGGGTCCGGTGACCCTTCCTCAGACCCCTTTCGGGTCACCGGACCCAAAATGTTAACTGATTTCTCTTCACAGATGCTGCCAGAGCTGCTGAGCTTTTCCAGCAACTTTGTGTTCCTGATTTACAGCATCTGCAGCTCTTTTGTGTTTTTTTTTAAAAATGTGTTCCTCATCACAATTTGGTTTCAAAAGTCTGGTTTCAAAAGTAAAGTTGTATTTGAGGTCCCAGAGTTAAAAAGGCACAATGCTTTGATACACGCATCTTGCCCACCTTAATATGTCTCACTCTGACGGAGAGTTTTCCTTTCGCTCCACAGTAAGTTAATCCAGACCCAGCTCTACTGTGATGTTGTTTACTCCTTTCTTGACGAGCCAACTCAACAAAGTTAAATCTTTATTTCATAACAATGCAGTGAAGCATGTTGAGAAGAATCGGTACGTTAAAGGTGCTATGTAAATGCAGACCCTGTATTTTAATTGTCATGTTTTGAGGACCACCATTAATGTACTGTGTCTTCCCTCCTTTATTGTAGCGGTAACCCTGCGCACTGACAGTGCCCTTAAAGCAGGCCGAAGAGTGAGAAGAGTCTCCACAGGTTTCTCGGATGATTCTCTCGCCACAGACAGTGGAGTCTTCGAAGCATTGAGTAAAAGGTGATGAAATAATTTTCTTCTGCACCAAATCAAGTTGGTGGAACAAACTCTACAGCTGGCGTTTTCCAAGAACATACTTCCCCCTGGATTCTGACTAGCTGTGAGAGGCACCAATATGTTGCCACTTTGTTTGTGCAGACAGTGCTGTGTGTAATTCTGGCCATTATTATAATAGTCTGTGCACCTGTTAGATTGGTCTGAGCGATGATTGATAGTTTCTTCAGTGACACAGGGGCTGCCCCTGTCTGTGTGAAGCTGTCGATGGTTGCAATTTCTGTTCCACCAGTTGCAGGGTCGCACTTAATCCTGTTATTGAGGTTGCCTGCAGCAGTAACAGTGGACCCTGAAATTCAGTGGGGCTTTCTGTCTGTACTGTGCAATATCTCTCTGTGGAGAGCAGCAAATCATCACTAGCAAGGGAGTTACTTGGTGCTGGGTGCATTTTCCCCCATATCTGTCTTTTGCACAGGGTGAGCCCATGCAGCCATTCTGTCTCACTTCAGTGACAAAGTTATCAAACTATTAACTCTTCTCCCTCTCCTGAGCCTTGAGGCAATAGGGCCAGCTCATTCCTTCCACTGCATTTACTTTGGGCAAATTGCACTTAGGTCTTCCTTACAGAGACTATCCAATGATGTGGTCGTGTGGTTAGACTCACCAGGCGAGGCATAATGTGCAGGGGCTGCGGTGTGAGTCGTTACTTTACTCCTGCCAGATGGGATGTCTGCCCCTTATTGCAAGACTGGAACACTTTTCAGTATTCCATCATAGCTGTCTGGAAAGGACTCCAACCAATAGCCTGACACAGGCTGGAGTACTCTCACTGAGCCAAAGCTCACTCAAGACCACTCATTCATGATTCATGATTCATGATGCATCATGCAGACACGCCTCTGTATTAACTGTGACTTATTAGATTGTAAATTTGCTTTTCATTTATTGTGTCCAACTGTTTGGATTTGCAGGCCTGAAGATGCAGACGAGACTCTGTATGATAATAGTTCCATCACTTTTGATCCACCACAAATTAAAATGGGACTTGTGTAAGTGTTTAAATGTACCGGGCTTTCTCAATGACATCCATAAACTTTAGCTCCTGTCTCCTGCTTTATTTGCAATTATTGGGAGGTGTATTTTGTTAGAGGTATGAGAGGAATTCTCAGGACTATTACTGAACCAGTTGAACAATAGATGGTCCTATAATATAGGAACCTGATTGGACCACGTGTGGAGTGCTGTGTACAGTTTTGGTCTCCCTAATTCAGGAAAGATATTATTGTCCTAGAGGTAGTGCAACAAAGGTTCACCAGATTTGTTCCTGGGATAGTGGGACTATCCTGTGAGGTGAGGTTGGGCAAACTGGGCCAGTATTCTCTAGAATTTCAAAGAATGAGGTGATTTCATTGAAATACTGAAAGGGGTGGACCAGGGTGGAAGTGGATAAGATTTTTACTTTCACTGGGGAGACTAGGACTGGGGACACAATTTAAAAAAAACTCTTGGGACCAAGATGAGGAGAATTTGTTTTATTTGGAGGGTGGTTGGTTGTTGGAATTCGCTACTCTGGAAGCTCAGACTTTGAATATATTTAAAGTAGAGGTTGCTGAATTTCTGATTATCCAAAGCATAAAGGGTTTCAGGAATAGAGTGGGTAAAAGGCATTGAAGTGTTTGATCAGCCATGATCATATTAAACAACAGAGCAGGCTGAATGTTCCTTATTGTCATGTTAAGCAGTTTAAACAAATGAGTCAATAGTAATCCAACCTCTGGATGATTAAAACATGAGGAAATCAACGTGAAAAGTAATGTGTTAAAGTCCTTTAAAGCGCACACACTCAACAACAGAGTTCTGCATCAGCAACACTGTACAATCAGAATCTGGCAGTTTAACTGTGATGTGACTGGACTAATAATCGAGAGGATTGAAGTTCACTAGGCAGTATCCTGAGGATTTGAAATCAGCTTAAAATGTCTGGCAGTAATACCCTGGTATCAGTAGTTTATCATAACAGTAACTAGGCTTTAAAGTATTGTCATTGGCTGCAGAGTGCTTTAAGACTTGTTTGGGTTGGGAAAGGCACTTTATAAATGCAGGTCTTTTATTTCTTTGGCAAATACGCTTCCAAAACTTTTGTATCTTCAGGTATGATCACCGGGAGGAATGCTTGATCATTCACATCCTTCAGTTACGGAATCTCACTGCCCTACAGGTGAAAGATGGGAGCAGAGTGTAAGTTGGAAACGATAATACAAGTCGTGACCATAAAGGTCTACTTTTGCCTGACTATTATATAGGACTGACCTGTTTCTTGATAGAGCCCAGTGCCAATGTTGACTTTGGATCCATATTAAAATGACATCCAACACAATACTAACGACACTTTTGAACAAAGATTCAAGTTATGTTGAGGGCAGAGGTCTAGTCATTGGGGATCCTGTGTGTCTGCCACTGAGCTAATGAGTAGAAATCCGTTCATGAGACTTAGAGAGAAGCTGTCAAAAACTGAGTGGGGGGTGGGGTGGAGGGTGTTGATGCACAAACTGGAGTGAGTGAGGGTTTAACCAAGATTTTTGATTTCAATGGAGTGAAGAAGGATTGTTATGCACATTTTGAAAGATTGGAGATACTGGAGGCTGACACTGGATCTGCTATCTCCAGAAAACGATGCAAAAACATGTCAGCGTTGGGATTGCCAACTCCAGACACATTAGTGTGCACCTATTGGGTTCAAAGTGGGCAGAAATGAAAGTTTTTAATGTTGGCACACTTCTGGAGTTACTGAACCTCACAATAGTGTGCTTTACCTTTTTTTTTAATCCATTTGTTTACCTTTGGCCGCGATCAAGTTATCGGGCCACCCACCACCTTTCTAACGGAAGACAGCACCAGGGCCCATTAGGGCCACCATCTGCCTTTGGCACTTAACCTGCCTTTTGCATAGGGTGAGCACGTCTGCCTCTGGTTCGAACTGTTGCAAAAATATCTTTGGTTTCAGAATTAGGGCAACTTTGTTAGATTTCTCTGAGGATTGGGCTTCACCTCCCTGAAGTGCAGGATGAGAGTCAGTCAATTGATTATAGATTTGATTTTGGTTTTATTTGTTCTTTTTATTGCTTGCCATGTACTGTTAAAAAGCGATAAGATCATACTCAAACTTCTACCATGTGGTGCTTAAATTGATTAATTAAAAAATAACGTGCTGGATATACTCAGCAATTCTGACAGCATCTAGTGGAAAAAGAAACAGAATTTAAGGTTTGAATCCTACCAGAGCTGCTGAAAGTTTTCAGTTTTTCAGATTTCCAGCATCTGCAGTATTTTGGTTTTTGTATGAAAGTTACATTTATCAATGTTTTTGTTGAATTAGTGGTAATTTATTTGCCTCATTGTGGTCGATGTATTGTAGAAGTAGTTTTTGTTTAAATGTTACTTAAATCTTTCAATTTTGGTTTATAAATTGCTACACATTTCACTTTGAAAGCAAAAAGCCTTTGGTTTATTCAGATCTTGGTGGTACTGAGACTAAGGTAACTGAAAGAACATTTGCAAACTACAGCAAATGTCATGTGATTGAGCGTCACTGAAGCAGTGTCATGCAATTGAATGCTATGTCATCAAGTCACATAGCCACATCTCCAGGATTACATCCAATCGGGGTTTGTCCTTGGAGAGATCAGGTTTGGATTGATTATAATGGGTCCTCTTGTAAATTTATCTGTCATCTTTAGGCTCATACACATTGTGAGAGGCTCCAGAAAGTGGTCGGAACTACAGAACTTTATGAAAGAAGCTATGTCCTACTAATGTTCATTTTATTAACTGGCAGCATCAAATTTAATGGGAAAGTAGATGAGAAGCTGAAGAGGTTTGCAGTCTTTTATGTCATACGTTGAGGTCTAACTTCCTGCAGAGAAAACCCTACTTTAACACAGCAGAAATAGAGTGGGGTGGGCTTGGGCCCTCAATGGATGCTTTCTAATAGCCAGCAGAGGATACAATGGCATCTGTACCAGCTTGTCACTGTTATTGCTGGGTGCTGGGATATTGTATCTTAAAACTCAATCTGTTGTGAGCAAGAATAATTCTGTTCTTGTTGCAGGTATATAAGGACCTCATTGCTCCCGATTGACCCTGGCACAACGTTTACCTTCTGCTCCAAGGCTTTAGAGATTCAGGCCCTAATGACATTCAGTGAATCATTTCAAATCCCAGTGGCACCCAGCATGTTGAGATTGAAGACTGTGCAGCTGGATATATGTTCCATTGACCAGCAAATTCAGGAAGAGTTATTGGTAGGTGCTGATTGCAGTTTCCTGGTATTGATAATCCTCCCTCACATTGCAGGTTTAACATTAGTGTGATCTAGGTCCAGGTACTGATATCCTCGCACACTGCAGGTTTACCATCAATGTGAACCAGTTTCAGATGCTGATATCCTACCTTACGCCACAAGTTTAACATCGGTATGAACTAGTTTCCCTTTGAGCTTACTGTGAAACCTGTTTTGCTGTCCACACATAAATTGTCTCCCCCGGGAAGACCCATTGCACCTCTGCCTAGTGTCACGTTTGGTCTGGCTCTGGATTCAATTGATTTGCAGACAGTTGAGGTGTGAATTTATTCTGTGTATTTCATAGTTAGCCTGGGTGCAGCGATGACAGAGAAAAGGCCATAGATATCCAGATCAGGATGACGTGGAACCTGGAGGTGGCCCTGTTCCCATGTATCTGCTGTCCCCTTTTCTTTCCCAGTGATGGAGCCAGTGGATTTGACCAATGTTGCTGAAGAAACCTGGTCAGATTGCTGGGTGCCTTGAGTGGACAGTGTGCCCAGTACACTGGTGATGAAGTGTGGAGCAAGCAGACCAGTTTGATCAGGACGGCATTGAGCTTTCTGAACTACAGTAACTCAATGGCGTAATACAAATGGGGCTTAAAGAAAACATGCTCTCAACCTTGATATGTTTGTTTTACGTTTCTCTCAATGAATTTCTTGTGTTTAGGGAGTTGTTCAGATAAGTCTGGCTGACATTGAAAGACCAGGTGAAATGTTGCTCCATTGGTATCAACTGTTAACCTTCGGTAGTATGGGGACAATGCCTGAAAGGAACAGCAGGCAAGCTTGCAATACTGGAATTGTTGGAAAGCTAACGGATAGTGAAATGAAGGTAAAGTAGAATATGTACTAATCTGTGTTCATACATGTACCAACAGAGAGGAAAGTACAATAAAGCTTTTGTGAGCAAATATGTCTGTTGAATATCTATGATGTGAATGGATTTTTAAAAATCCAGTGTTCAAGATCTATGGATAAGACATATAAGTACAGGTAGTTCTGTTATAATGCATGTTTTGTTAACATGAATTGGCTGTAATGTGATTGATGAATAGCAGACACTGTTTGGATAATGCAAACTTTCTACTGTATGGTATAATAATTTCTCTATAATGTGATTTTTTTTATAACGTGAGGTTGCACAAGAACATAACTGTTGTGTTATAGGCAAACTACCTGTAAACAATTCTCCTCGTTTCCCACTTTTTTTTCCGCAAATTATTTTGTATATAGGATGTCTGACTGTTGAGCCACTTGCCAGAGAGATTTTTTTTTCCTCTACTTGGCCCATCCAAACCACTTCTAGTAGATATTCTCTAACCTCCTTTGCTCTGCTAGAGCAGACTCCGAACTGAACACCTCAATTCCTGGTAAACCTCTGTACTGTCTCTAAAGCCTTGTCTTCTTTCCTTCCTATAGTGCGATGCCTAGGCTTGTGCAGAGCATGCTAGCTGAGGGCTACTTCGTGACTTGTTTTGTATTCGGTGCTATTATGTACAAAGTCGAGTATCCTATATACTTCCCTAATCACTGTAACAACTTGTCCTGTCAACTTTCAAAATGCACAAATCCCCAGCTTACTTTGCCCTTGTGCACCTTTGCAATTGCCTAATTTATTTCTTTGCTGTCCATCTTTCACATTCAGACCCAAAATGTTAACTCTGCTTTCGCTCCACAGATACTACCAAGCCTGCTGAGTTTCTCCAGCAATTTGTTTTTGTTTCTTCTTGACTTTGTACTTCTCTGTATTAAATGTCAGCAGGCTTTGTGACTGCCTATGTCAACAACTGTTATTTTGATGTCTGTTACTATTTCCTGGTAAGTACATTGCTGAGCTTTGTCATCCACAATCCTTGAAATCATGACCTCAATACTGCCAGTTCAATAACCAGTGAACTATCCCATTGTCTGTAGCACCTTATTTTGCATATTAGCCCAATGCTGTGAGACACAAGAGGGGTGTATTTTAAATGTTCACTCATTCTTTATCTCTGTTGTTTGGATTTCTTACTGTGCACACCCAGGTGGTACGTACTGATATACTTGTTTTATCCACCTGAAGGATGCAGTGTCAATGCTTCTAGCAAGGACCACAGCTCAGTTGGAAGCAGTGGAGAAACAGTTAGCAGAGGAGCGAGTGAAGTTGGAATGTACGGAAGAGGAAATCCAGGAGGAGATGAAGGAAGAGAAAACCGAAGCCGTGTCAGAGAGGTATGTTGGAACGTTGGGAATTCTTAGCAGGTCAGGCAACATCCTCAGGCAGAGAAGAAAACAGAGCCAGTGTTGCAGTCAACCCTTTCAGCAAGTACAGGGTCAAGGAAAAGGAGAAGGCAAGGAAAGAACAGTGAGGGAAAAGTGGAGGAAAAGATGGTTAAACAGCAAAAGTGGTGATGTGCAGGGTGAAAACGGTTAATAAAGGAGCAGGGAGAGAAACGGAAGATTGATCCAGAGGAGGTATGTATGAAGGTAGAAGGTATAAAAGTTCACAGCAGGAAAATATGAGCAATCTGAGAGGGAAAGGTTCCCATAGCCCATGAATATGATCAAGAACGACAGGTAGACCCCTTAGATAAAAACCAGCCCACAGGTTGGGCACCAGTAGGCAATCCTCACTGTGGAGCAAAGATTGCAATCCTCACTTGGCTTTTTGAGTGTTTCAGTCGAGCCCTTTTGATGGTCTGTGATCCAGAACACTGAGGCCCAGTGCTCAGCAGTATGCAGTCTAACATGTCATGACATCTGACACAACTGGTCAGTTTTGACAACCACACAAGAGTGTCTTTGTCAATTCAGACCTGCCATGGTTCCGTGCAGTGAAACAATGAAATGGTAACCAGGTTTATACAAGTTTACTGAAGGGTCCGATAGTTAAAGAACTGAACCAATAAGCCTGTGCCCCTTGCATTACACACCAGATTTCTCCTGTCTGGGTTTCCCCTGCTTGTAATAACATAATAGTTTTAATCATTCGCATCAATTTAAGGGAGGAGAAAAAGGCTCATTGTGATAATCTCCTGACAGAAAGAGTCGCTTGTTAACTTAGTAACCTTTAATCTTGCTTTTAATAAATGAATTTCAAAAGAGCAGAACTTTGGAGGGGATGGGGAATGTTAATGTGGGAGAGGCTGGTGAACTGAAGAGAAGTTGATTGAAGGTTAGAGAGCTGGGACTTTGAGGAGTACTCAGTGTAAGTTGGTCATGGTTTCTGTGGAAAGGTGGTATGATTGCTGATTTTTTTTTTTGGGGGGGATTGTAAAGGGATGAGAGCATGTGCTCCACAATGAGCTGTTTCTCAACTTGTTCAGAGCAACAGAGTGAGAGCACATAGCCTTTATTTGAAAGGTTCATCTGTGGAAATGTTTCCCAGCTCCAAGCTGATGGGTGTGTGGGGGGATTATCCTACAGCTGCCAGCCAATTTACCTAGACCATTTGGGACCATGCAGGCTAGCAGCAGACAGGTATTTGAGGCTGGTAGAGCAGGCTATTGGCCTTCCTTTTACACAGGCCTTGCTGATTCTCGCACAGGACTCCTGGAAGTTCCCCGGACTGTCAGTAGCTCCTCTCCTCAAAGGAAGCAAAGGGCTGTGCAGCAGATGCTTGTTGGCTCAGAGCCACAGTCATTAAACTACATCAGTAATGAGGATAGATTGAATTTGGAGAGAAGGTGGCTGGCCGAGGAGATGTGACTGGACAGAACTTGGAGCAGGAGTAGGCAATTCATCCCCTCGAGCCTGCTGCACCATTTAATACACTCATTTTGGCCTCAACTCTAGTTTTCTGCCTGCTCTCCATAACCACTCTACCCATTATTAGTCAAAAAAAATGTCTATTTCCTCCTTAAATTTACTGAATATCCCAGCATCCACCACATTCTGGGGTAATGAATTCCACAGGTTCACTCACGAGCCCTCGAGTAAAGTAATTTCCCTTCATCTTGTTTAATCTGTTACACTTTGTTAAAACTCATTCTAGATTGGCCCACATGAGGAAACATCCTGTCTGCATCTACTTTGTCAATCCCCTTTAGCATCCTATAGACCTCATTCATATCTCCCCTCATTCTTCTGAACTCCAGATTGTATACACCTAATCTCAATCTCTCTTTGTAAAACAAACCCCTCATCTCTGGAATTAATCTGGTGAATATCCTCTGAACTGCCTCCAATACAACCATATCCTTCCTCAAGTAAAGGGACCAAAATTGTACACAATATAATTTCACTAATGCCTTGTACGGTTGCAGTAACGCTTCCCTACTTTTATACTTGCTTCTTTTTGCAATAAATGCCGAAATTTCATTTGCCTTCCTGTTACCTGCTGAACCTGTGTGCTGGTTTTCTGTGATTCATGCACAAGGACACTGGGGTCCCTCTGCACTGAAGCATACTGAAGTGTCTCTCCATTTAGATAATTATTTCTCAGTCTATTCTTACGGCCAAAATGAATGACCTTGTGCCTATCCACATTAAACTTCATTGGTCAGATTTACAAATTTCTTATTTCTTCCTTGCAACTTATTTTCCCAATTTTTTTTCTTTTGGTGTCATCTGAAAATTTGGCAACAGTGGTTTCAATCCCCGCATCCAAGTTATTAACATGGTTTGCAAATGGTTGGGGCCTGAGGGACTGAACCCTTTTTAGCGCCTCCTCTTGTGAACCAGAAAAAGATCCATTTATCCCGAGGTTTTCAAAATAGTGCGTGGGCTAGACAAAGTAGACAGGATGAAGCTGTTCCCACGCACAAGAACAACAAGAACAAGAGGACATAGATATAAAGTAATGTGCAAAAGAAGCAAGGGTGGTGTGAGGAAAATCTTGTTCACACGGCAAGTAGTTAAGGTAAGGAATGCACAGTGTGGAAACGTGGAGGAAGCTTGTTCAATTCAAGACGGCATTGGATGATTATTTGGGAAGTAAGAAATAATGTACAAGGATACGGGGCAAGGCAGGAGATTGGCGCTACGTAAAGATGCTGGTTTGAAGAGCTGGTATAGGTACAGTAGACAGAATAACCTCCTTCTGTGAGTTCTGCATTTGCAGGCATGCAGGCTTGGTTCTGAGAATGAACTGCTAGGATCCTCAGAGGCATTGCAGAGTGGAACGCCATAGTGAGAGCTTTTGGTGAAAGGCCATCTCCCAGGCCGCTAATAATCTGTGCGGACAACAGCGAGAGCACTTGTCCTGTGGATGTGCCAAAGTTCAATGGGTGATTTGCTTTGAGTCCTGCAGTGAAGAGAGAAAGAGACAGACACCAGTAACATGAGGTGGGGTATAGAAGCAGCAAGGCAGCCCGATGTTTGAAGAAAGCATTACCCACCTCGAGATGTATACAAAGAAAGGTTTCACTTTGTAGAGGTGACAGAACACCAGTGTCTCTGAAGTCTGTCTGTCTGTTGAGATGGGTGGCTTCTGGAATGTGGTAGTGTAGGTGACCACACGAGGTTTTCCCATCATGCTTGTCCCAGGATGGTGGGTGAGCCATTAGCGAGACTGTCAGTGGCCCACTGCTCTTATTGGGTAGGTGATGGCTGCCTTGCTTCAGAGCACAGGGCAGTACACTGGGTCTCTCAGTGATCACGCCTCAAATCTCCCGTGGGGATTGGCTGGAGCTGTTCCTGCCTCTGTCAACTGCTGCTGCCCATCTGTGCGTTGCTACCAGCCAGAGGTACCTGTTGTAAATGTGTGCGGGTACCCCAGGCTGTGCTGGCAGAGCGTGCACCAGATGGATGGCTGTCGTCCTCCAATGTCTCATGTCGTTCACGTCCCTTTGGCAGCACCTCGCCTCTTGCTGGACCGGAGAGAGAGCTGCCTGCTGCATACAGATCCCACGGCCAGCCCTATCCTTCTGCCTGCCTTTGATCTGTAGCTTCCTGTGATAATCAAGGGCCGTGGACTCGACTCAGTCTGCTGCAACCCTCCTAAGCTCCATCGCTTCTTCCTCCATCTCTGTGACTCGAGCAATGCTGGGACATCACCCCCTGTGCATGACGGAACACACTGCTTCTGCATTGACAGAAGTACGTAGTTCATACTTGTCATTCTCAGTGGTGGACATCAACCTGTGCCACTTTAAGTAGCTATTCGCCCTATGTAGTCAGCACCACTGACATTGATCTCCTGTGTGTTGCAACTCTGTATGCTGTGGCTCTTGGTCACTCGCTCTGTAGGGGTCAGCCACCTCTCCTTTTACAGCTCAGGGCCACCAACATAACTATTGCAGGGCCACCAACTTGCTGTCACATACCAGACCCCTGTGGTCGTTGAATGGTCTCTTGTGCTGTAGCAGTGTTGGTATCACCCATCCCTTTTTTGACCTTGTTGGCTGGATCCAGTCTTGCCTCTTCCATGTGGCTGCTGCCCTGTCTGCTGGGAACAGAATCTCAATGTCCATTCCCTTGCCACCCTGTATTTAAATGCAGCCGCTGTTCCTGTCCCACTGGCTCACTTCTCCGAGACAGACCTCGATGATGTGGCCCCAGACTACCTGCCACCCGTTATTGCCTCAACTGGACTCCGTTTGGTTGCATATTGGAAGGTCACTGCTAGGTCCCACCACCACCAATTCGTTCAACTGTAAATTAGTTAGATTTCTTCAGAAAATCCCAGGCAGTTTGAGACACCATGTGCTGATTGGAACCATGCCTTTACATTTGTGCTTCTCCAAGCTCTGGGAAATACCTCGTTTGATGTTTGTGTCTGTTTTTGACTAATTTATAGAGAGAGAAATTGCTACCATCAGCTCCATTATTTTACCATATGATCAGTGAGATGATAGGGCGTGATTTGGATCGAGCCTAAGTTGATTCTAAGGCTAATAATCCTTAACAGTGTCTACCATAGGCAATGCAGTTCTGCTAATGTTTGACCTTGCATCAGTTGTATTAGTCCTCTTTTTTTATGAAAGTCATGTTGTTTATCTTCACAATGGGAATTGTGTGCTTGTCTTTACCACACTAATAGTTATGTTGTACTGATGTACTTTCTCCTAGGAGTTGGCAGGCCGAGTCAGTGGACAGTGGCTGCAGCAATAGTGCCCAGCTTAGCCCACAATACCCTATGGTGGAACAGCTCAGTGGGGTGGATGGCAATGGGAGCCACCTGCACGAGTTTGCCGATCAAATGAGCCAGTTTGCTGCTCTCCGAATGAGAGCCCCGCGTACGAAGGTAGGCACTTTCCCGGGCTACAAGTGCTCTTTATGACTAATGCATTTTTTTGGGCTGGTCAGATTGTGTCCATGTTTGTTAATGGTGGTGGCATATAGACAGTTTGTGCTATTGTCCAGCAGTTATGGTAGACAAACGTTTGGGCCGTTGTCGTCATCCAGGGTTGTACCATTGTAGAAATATTGAATTCTTGCAGTGTGGAGGCAGGCCATTCGGCCCATTGAGTCCTCACCGACCCTCCAAAGAGCATCCCACCCAGACCCAGACCCATCCCCCCTACCCCATCGCTGTAACCCTGCGTTTCCTACATCCCTAGACATTATGGACAATTTAGCTTTGCCAATCCACCTAACCTGCACATCTTTGGACTGTGGGAGGAAACCAGATTACCCAGCGGAAACTCATGCAGACACAGGGAGAATGTGGAAACTCCTCACAGAGAGATGCCCAAGGCTGAAATCAAACCCAGGTCCCTGGTGCTGTGAGGCAGCAGTGCTAACCACTGAGCCACTGATCAGTCATTACCTATTTGCTGGTATTCTGCTCCCGGATGTTCACTTCAGATTTTGTTAGATTTGGTTCCAGATCTCATCACAGACTTGATCCAGAAAGAGTGCGAGACACTGAATATTAGAGGAGCAATGAGGATTCTGCCCTCAATGTGAAGGCAGCCAAGGAGTGGCACTAAGGAGCCTGTTGTCATTAGCTGCTAAAAGGAAAACCTCGAGTGGTCAGAGCTGTACATGATGTAGGGTTGTTAGTCAGTCAGTAAAGCCCTGGGCCATCATTGTTCCGTTGGAAAACATCTACTGGCCAACTACCTGCACGTAACCTTCAACTTTCTTATACAGTCAGCAGTGGAACTTTTGTGTTGACCATTTCATTCTCTTTTGACTTCTTGGGTAATAAAGCAAGTTGTGCAGCCTCCAGTAGGATCTGAATAACACTGAGACTTGGACTGGCAGGTGACAGGTAGATTCACGTCCTATCATGAGCCATCGTGAAATGGCTATCATGAACAAGGAAAAACCTCCAGTCGTTTCCTCATGACTTACAATACCATTGCAGAGTAGAGTTAGAATTAGCTTTATTGGCACACGTACTCACATGAAAAGTTTACAAGTTGCCACTTGTGGTGTCATCTTAGTTACAAAGGTACCTAGGTACAAATTCTTCAATACAAATTCCTAATTCTGTCAAATTCCTTGATGCAGCAGAAAAGCCGCATGGAATGACTGAAGCTGCTGCATGGGGGACTAGTCCAGTGCTGACAAAAACACCACCGAAGCCACCAAAAGGAATTCTAGGCCAGACCAGACCAGACCAGTCATGCTGCCTAGACGTGACTGCAGAAGCTTGGAGGGTAGCCCCCACCCCTTCTTGTGGTTTTGTGGTACAGTGGCAGAGTATCCACCTCTGAGCCAGGAGATCCAGGTTCAAGTCCCACCTGCTCCAGAGTTATGGCATAACATCTCTGAACAGGTTGATGTAAAGAGACATGAAAGGCTGGTCTTCCCCAGTAAGAGGTGTTGGTCAGAAAGGGGAGTGAGCAGACTGGAGTTTGTATTGAGCTATCACATGGAAGACAGACAGCCTCCTGCTTTGATAAATGGGTGATTAGAAATGTAACACACAGTGGGCTACAAGATTAGGCCAAATGCTGGATTGCTGTAAAGACTGACTCATCTTCTGAACCATCAAAACCTCCTCACTGCTTAGAAGGTTCAGCTCAGAAGTATGACGGAATACTTGTTTGGATGACAGCCATTATCCAAACAACTTTGTATTGATGTGGACAGAACCATTTGTTTGTTCAGTGCCCCTGTCACTGATTTGTTAGCCACCAAAACCCACTGCTGTACTGGGACTGCATTCTAAATGGTCTACATGATGCAATGCAGCAGCTTGGTACGTCTGTCTTAACACCACCTCCTCGTGCCACCCCCCATACCTCCACCACCCAGATAAAACTGGAGCAGTGGTGTTACCACATGTACCGAGATACAGTGAAAAGTGTTGTTTTGTGTGCTATCCAGACGCAGAAGTACATCAAGGTAATAGAACCAAATTGCAGAACATAGTGTTACAGCTTGGAGAAAGATCAACTCAAATGTATGAGAGAGTTGTTCAGAAGTCTGATAACAGCGGGGAAGAAGCTGTTCTTGAATCTGTTGGTACGTGTTTTTAAACTTTTGTGTCTTCTGCCTGATGGAAAAGATTATAACCAGGAGGTGGGAGGGGTCTTTGATTAAGTTGACTGCTTTCCCGAGGGAGAGGGGAGTATTGATGGAGTCAGTGGATGGGAGGCTGTTTTGTGTGGTGGACTGGGATGTGGAATCTTGCCTAATCCTCCTGTAGAAGCACTCCCTCAGTGCAGCACTGCAGTGTCAGTTTAGATTCCTGTGCTCCAAGCCCTGCAAAAGCGCTTGGAACTCAGTCCTCGATATCTGGCCCGAGACGTGTGAGAGAAAAGTGGAGTGAATTGCTGTCTGTTATACTTTCCTGCCAAAATGTCAGCTCATTGGTCATGTGATGTGAGACATAGAATGTACCACGGCTCTAATTTGCAGTTTTTTGTCATTCTTCTAATTCACTGGAGGAATGTTTTGAGGAAATACATGCAGGAAATGACTGTAAACAAAACCTGTTTGGTTGCACAGTACTTGGTAATAGTTTACTCCAGCTTCAACTCTCTTTAGGCCTTTTGGGGAAAGAAGCCACTTTTTTGTTCTTATTCTAATTAGCTGCACAGCACACAGCAAAAAGCCTTTAACCTGTGAGTTGCAGTGCTACCAAACTATAGTACTGGAGTTGATTGTATAGTTACTATCGTGAATGGCGAATGAAATTGCAAAGAGATTGATTGACAGATTTGTGGGAGTGAACGCTGTGTTGAAGGGGGTAAAGGAGTTTGGAGGTGATGGAGTTGCTATCTGTTACAGGTTGACAAAGAGACCAACACTGAAGAGCCTTTCCCTGAAGAGGTCATGATACGACCGAAGGAAAGGAGCAGTCGACGGTCACGTGGCTCTCCGTTTGTCCGTAGCAGCACCATTGTCCGCTCGCAGACGTTTTCGCCAGGAGCACGGAGTCAGTATGTCTGCAGGGTTAGTAACACTCCCTGTCACTGCAGGAACATCACTACCCCATCCTCTGGGCCTTCCGTCTCCATGATTCTGGGAAATAAATTGCATTGCCCCAGCTGGGATTATCCTGGAATCTCCAGAAATTAATGGTCAACCCTCTGCACTCTGCTGGGAACTACAACTGAACTGTTGCAGTGCAGTCACCACCTTTATGTAGAAATCAGTAGATGGAGCATGAAGTTGTACACCCTTATTTCCCGAAGGCCATGAATTTTAAATACAATACGAGGTTATTTACCTTCCAGTGCCTGTGTTGTCGCTCCATAATTCAAACACCCATGCATTGAAATCCCTCTGTAGCTTTTAACTTCCTCCATAACTCCATGCTACATTACTCGAGAACTCTACACAACCTCAATGTCCAGCCTTCTGTGAATCTCCAACCTTCTGTGTCCCAGCGCTGAGAGGTGTGCTTTCAGCTATTGAAGCTTCAAACTCTGACATTTCCTTCCTAAACTGCTACAACGTTCTCTTTTAAATCATGCCTTCAAATCAATGTATTTGACCACAGCTTTTGCACAACTGCCCTGAAGTTTCCCTTGGCTTAATTTCAGTTCTCATTTGATAACACTGCTGGTGGAGCACTTTGGGTGGTGCAATGCAATTGTTGGGACACAGCCCTTGTTAGGTGTTTTGGTATGTGTCATCCCACAAGGCAGAATGTGACATGCCCCATTTTCAAAGTGATTTATTTCTTCCAATTCAAAACTTATTTACATCTAAAACAGGACTCAGCCCTTTGTGAAGAAGTTTAACCCAAATTGTTGGCTGCTCGAATAACAAATTATCTTTGGTATCTCATATTACGTTGTATAAAACTTCTGAAACACATCCTCAGGTTCCACATCTTTACTGCTAACACTTGCTGTACCTCCCCACCTTGTTTATAAGCACTCCATAACATTGGTTTGTCACACTGCTTGACAAACACGAGCAGAGATATCTTCCAGCCAAGGATTGAGGCTACTGTCCTGATCCTTGCCACTAACTCCAGATCCTAGTGACCAACTCCATTGTTTTCAGGGCCACTGTGTGAAACTAAACCAGACTCGGTGTAGTACACAAGCTCAGAGTGAGCTTCCAAACTTAGTGTGGCTCCACCCATCCCTCGCTTCAGCTCATCTGCAGCTGAAACTCTCGTCCGAGCCCAGACGCCCTTTAGTCACGTTTACTCCCAGTGCTCCAGCCTCCCACTCTCTGCAACCTCTGCTCCTGTGTTCTAACTTGCACCAGTCCTGCTCACCCAGCATTCTGATGCATCCCTGACTTGACGCAGTGACCATCTAGATGTGCACAGAGCTCCCCGCTCATATTGGAATGAGGTTCACGTGAAGATTGCAATTATATTCAGGAAAGTATGATCGCGATATCGACTGGAACAGCTGTGAAGTAGAATTGGACACGTACAAATAACTTTGTCTTGCCGTGTTCCTTACTGCAGCTATACCGAAGTGACAGCGACAGTTCGACGCTTCCTAAAAGGTCCCCATTTATCCGAAATGCATTGGAGAGACGCACTCTGCGGTATAAACAGGTAAGCAGCACGGATAATACTAAGGCAGCTTTGGGTCTGAATCATTTGTGCTTGTATCAGCTTGTGCATACTCCAGTTATGCTTATGCAGGTACACAATCCCATTCTAAGCTGGGTGGGAATCAAAGGCTCAGAACTGGAGGGGAGGTCCTTCTTATCTTTCCCTGGAGTGTGTGAAATGTTAATTCTTGGATCCCAGTTACCACCTGATTACCGCTGAAGCGGGGTTGGGGAATGTGTTGATAGGGACAGGATCTAGTTTTGCTGGCAGGCTCAACAACACCGTGCAGCCTTCAGTTGTGCTGAAACGGCTCTGTATCCCGCTGATGTGGTCGGGACGTACACCTTGCCATTCCTGTGGAGTGATGAGCCTCTTGTGCCCAATTTTGGCCAAGTGCTGGGATGGCAACAAAGTTCTAAGCCCCTAACCAGACTGGTCTCACATCAGGTGGGCTGTGGAAGGTTTAGAAGCTAGTTATTACTAGGTTACATGGGATGAACCGGACAGTATGCATCGTGGGTTGCAGGGACATGTCAGGATTATGGAATACCAGCTAGCAGCTGTGAGCGTTGTGGTCTGATTCACTTAAATAATCAGCTTGTAACTGCCTTTGCATCCTTCCCAGAAATATTTAGGGTCCATCTTTCTTGTAGTTTGGCCATTATCTGATTTGTAGATACACCCAAGGGGAGAAGGAGGTCTTGCATATAATGTTTTAAAGTCAGTGTAACTGGATTACTGCTGCAAGATATGGTTTGCTCCGTCAGTGCAGCCTCCCCACCCCACCTCCCCCAACCATTCAATCCTCTAACAGCAGGGTTGTGAAACCCCTGCGGTAAATCCAGCTTTATTTTTAGCTAGGAGAAATCTCTTAAGTTTTCCAAACACTTGTAACCACAATTAAGGGGAAGGTTTTGGACAATTGGAATTACTGAGACTGTTGTAAATCTAATCTTTATTCAGATTGGATTCTGACTTAAAATCCCTCGCCATCTCACTCTCTGCTAAGCTCCCATTTTGAATCCAGTCTTGGATTATTTCAGTCTGTTTTAATGGCCAAAGTGACCTCAGGCTGCTGTAAGGACTTGACTTCTGGCTGACGGAGTTACAATCAGTGCAGCAAAGACTTGCATTTGTACAGCACCTTTGTCGACTCCCTCAGCCCTTTTTCACAGTATAATTTGTGCAATGCTCTTTGAAGAGCAGCCACAGATCTATAGACAAGTGGTACAATCTCTCAAATTGCAATGCAGCAAGTGAACACCTATAATCTTTATGGCCCTGTTGGAGACAGTGTTAATGTTGTTCTGGAAACTCTTCTGTCACACATAACTAATGTTTCTTTAACATGCACCAGAACCACTATCATAGGGAGTTTGAGCTCCAGTCTAGATAAGGGTGACTCACATAAAATCTAATTTATTCCTACTTTACTGCCCTAGTTAGTTTTGTTCTGTTTACTGTCCCCTCTCATTGTGTGCCCTTTATGTGCTTGTATATAAAGGAATGAAAATCTTATTGACAGTATGTTCTCTGACACATTCTCATATGCTGCAAGAAACCAAACGCTTGGTTGTATGGTAAGAGGAGAAGAAATAAGACACTGGGAGCAAAGGTTAATGCAGGAATGTTTTAGGGAGGAGATATATTTTGAAGTCCTAAAGGAGACACTGCACTCGCATGGAGTGCAAGTCAACCAAGGTTCAGATCACTCTGCGATTCCTCTGTGCTTACTTCCTGCTATGGTTTAAAAATGATTAGATCTTAAATTGCCACACAATTTCATCAATTAATATCTGTAAAATCTGATTTCCTGGACACTGGTGTATCCCCCTCATGTGCTGGACATTCATGCCTTGATTTTTTTTTTGCTGCGTGTGTTTGTTTGTTGTTTGATACATGGTAGCCATCTTTCAAAACGCCACTGGTTGAACATCCAACACGAACATCCCTGGACTTGGAGCTGGATCTCCAGGCGTCCAGGACTAGGCAGCGGCAACTGAACGCGGAGTTGGCTGCACTGCGAGAGCTGAAACAGCGGCTGCAGGAGAGCAGGATTCGAGGACAGGCTGACCTCCCTCAATGGATTTTACGAGATGAGAAGTTCCGCAATCTGTTAAAGGAAGCAGAGAGACAGGTGAGGAGGAAGTGCTTTATTAATTGAATGATCTGTGTTTGATGTGTGCTTGCACATCTGTAATAGACTACAGCCAATGAGGAATAAAGGAGTTTTCTAGCGATGCTAACTTGTCTTCTCACCTTTTCAAAGCAAACTGTTCAGTTTACCAGGAGGAAGGTGATATAAAATCATAGAATCCCTACAGAGTGGAACCAGGCCATTCAGCCCATCAAGTCCACACTAACCCTCCAAAGAGCATCCCACCTAGAACCAACCCCCTAACCTATCCATGTAACCCTCCTAGCCTGCACATCCCTGGACACTATAGGCAATTTAGCATGGCCAATCCACCCTAACCAGCACATCTTTGGACTGTGGGAGGAAACCCACGCAGACGTGGGGACAATGTGCAAACTCTACAGAAGGTCGCCCGAGGGTGGAATCGAACCCGGGTCCCTGGCGCTGTGAGGGAAGCAGTACTAACCACTGAGCCACCGTGTTGCCCGTTGTTGGCCCTCTCTTCTGATCCACAATTCTGCCTTGTTTGTGATATTCTTGCCCTTTTCAGTTTGGAATGTCTTTTCCAAGTAGTGCTGCTACCGAGGCTAAAGAGCTCCATCTACCCTTTACATTGGATGGAGAGGATCTCCTGCACTCATTAAATTTTAGACTTCCATTGACGACATGGACGAGATGGGCCAAATGGCCCCCTTCTGAGCTGTATCATCTCTATGGTTCTGTGGATGTCGGCGCTCCGTTCTCCAGCTGCTACGGTAACTGGAGTATGGCCTGAACCGTTCCCTTTTGACTCAATGGTGGGAACACTGCTATTGAGCTGAAGGCTCATTCCCCCAGTATTGTAGCTGGTGTGAAAATGGATGCTATGTCAAGGAGAATTTCAGTGAGCAGACTGATAAATAGAAAAAGTACAATATGTTTATTGCAGTGAAGTAAGTACTCTTCCAAAACACTTTGCAGGCAAAGCAAACTAAGTTGGAGCAACGCCAAGACCAAGCTGAGAAAATGTTGAAGAAAGCAGCGAAGGAAGTGTATCAACTGAGAGGGAAAAGCCAAAAAGAGCCCTTGCAGGTTCAGTCCTTCAGGTAAGATTTAAAAAAGAGAGAATTGCTTTGCCATGTCACAATTTTCAATGGTCTTGCAAAATGAGTGACCTGGAGTGTGCAGTAAAAGCACTATATAAATGCGTGCTGTTGTTGGCATTGGCATAAAAGAATCAATATGTCCTGTGACACTTCACAGACCACCCTTAACACCAACTATCTCATTACACAGCCCGATCTGCTGACCAGAATTTTGGTTCGATATATAGGGTTTTTGAGAACCATTTTAAAAGGGGAGAGGTAGAGCTGTGATCTCATTTAAAGCACACAATGAGATATTTTTAGAGCAGGAATCTCTAACTAAGGAAAGTTTAAAATATCTGCTGTTTCTGTTTTTTTTATATTGTACTTCGTCTGTGATCTAGATCTTTTCTTTAAATCGTACTTTAATTTTACTTTTGAAATGTATTTATTTCCAGTGATCATGTCCATTTTGAAAGGAGGCGGCAAGATTAATGCCATTGACTTCAGAACCTGTCTGTTGTCAGAATCAAATGGGGCTAGAAGCCCTCGCTGTGTTGGGAAATGTCATCGGCTGTGATTTCTTTTCGTGAATTCACCAGTGACTGGCTGGAGGGTAATGGGGCTGTGGGATGGTTGGGGGTGGGGGTGGGGGTTGCAGACAGAGTTGCAGCTTGTCATCCAATTCAGAATTAGAACAGTGGGTGCTTGGAGGGGGACGAAATAGGAGGCCCTCCAGTAGAAGTAGAAAGAGAAGTGGGTATTTGAGATGGACACACCTTTGAATTGCCTGAGCAACTGGGTTATGGGGCAGAGCACATTGTAGGGTGGGCTGTGGCTGACTTGGATAGGTTACAGTGGCCTCTGAGCCTTCTTGGGGAGTTCTGTTCCTGGTAAATTGCTGGATATCCACCTCCAGCAGTTACAAAGTTCCCCTGTCACCCCGAATGGGTTCTCATAGGTTGTAGCAAGCCTTTAAACATCCTTAATTGTTTACCTGTGAAATTCTGCGCTTGCCCATTTGGGGCATAAAGGTCCAGCTAAAATTCTGGATGCTGCTTTCCATAAATTATAGCATGTTAACACGCAGCATGCAGACTGTACAAGTTCTGACAGCTATCAGATTAGTTCCTTTTGCTTTTTCCCTCATCGGCTGCAAACTTTTATTTTCAAATGTGCATTCAGTTCCTCTTTGTAGAGGTTCACAAATATTGTTTAGACGAGAAAATCTGTTGTCTTGATCTCTTCTGGCCTGCATGTGACTCCAGACCCACAGCAATGTGGTTGACTCTTAGCTGCCCTCTGAAACGACCCACCGAGTTACTCCAGTCCATTGGCATCTCGGGATGGGCAATGAATGCTGGCATTGTAAATTCCCCATCAATTAACTAAAAAAAAAACTGTCTCTCCTTTGGTTATCAATTGTTCCGCCAGCAGAAAAAAAAATTAATAATTGTTTGACAACCAGCCGCAGTGAGAAACAAATATTTCCGTTACAAGCTGTTGTGTTTGGGGAAGTGTTCAGCGTAAACTTTCTGGAGACATTTGTGTCAATGTGTACTGTCTGTGGTCTTTGGCTTTGCACCAGACACTGAGGCAGTCTTATTTTGTATGCAAGTTTGCCAGTTGCCAATAGGGGGAGGTAGACAGCATGCTCCATTTCCAAATGCTTGTGATGAAGGCTCCAACATTTCTCCATATCAACATTTGTGATGTGGAGGGATTCCACAGGGACATACCTAGAGCTCCAGCTGGTCTCAAAGCATTGAATATTTCTGAATGAATCTTAGATTGGCTAGTCAGTAGAAGATCAGCAGGTTATAGGTCAGTATGGAAATTGAGGAGTGACCGTATGACCAGTGGACTTGGATCTTTACTCTCTATCTACATCCACCATCAGAGTCTTTCTTCTGCAACGTTGGTCATCCGTAAATCTGATTGTACATTTTAGCTTGAATGTTAAGATTTTTAAAAAATACATAAAGAAGGGTCCCGATGCCTTTGTTCGGCTGGAGGCAGCTGACACTGGCTTGATGCTGACCAACCTGGCATTTATGTGGCCACTGCAAGCCCCTCCAGAATCCCCACTACCTGGTCAACTGTAGTCCTGTGTCAGTAAGCAGCAGTGCCCTGACCTCCCTTTAGGGGTTTTACCTATGAGCTGCTCGTTGCTGCCAACAGCTCACTGACTTAGTGGAAAAGAGCCTTGGGCAAAAGGCACTGATCCTAAAAGTGGACATGGCTGAATTTCTAGATCCATTTTATTGCTTTGAGCACAATCTTTTGAAATAAATTAACAATTCAGGAGAAAACATCAAACATTTTCAGAACCATTTCCATTGCTTTGTCTCCTACTAATACGTACTTTTTTTTAATGCAGTCATGCTGTTTTAATGATTCTTTAGCCTGGACAAATCCATTGCTTTTGGTTAGGAAAATTAAAATCAATGTGTTCTAATCTCCTTCAGTCTTGAGGCTTTCTGTGTCATTGAACTCTTGGTAAAAGCAGCAAGGTAACACTAAATGCTACTTCCTGAACACAGGGCTGGAAGGAGCACTCCAACATTAATCCCTCGGTCAACACTGGCTAATCTCCTTTCTGCCTCCACTCCCACAATCAACATTCTTCTGTTATGGCTCAGCTGTCTTGTCTCACTCTTCTCCCATGCCTCCGTTCCCATTAAAATTTATCAATAAATCCCTTTCAACCCCATGTTTTTGAGCTCTTGGTCAAACCTTTTGACTGGAATGCCAGTTCTAGTGAGTTCAGTTCTAGTGAGTAAAAGACACTTTGAAGAGTGATCTTGACATTTTCTTTTGTATTCGCAGAGAGAAAATGGCATTTTTCACCCGAGCGCGAATCAACATACCTCCTCTGCCAGCGGATGATGTATGACACTTTACTATATTTTAAATATGAAGTATTTATCAGTCTCAATTTTATCCATGTGAAGTTACTAGAAAAAAAACAGTAAGTGAGTTTATTAAACACTTTTGCAAGGATTATTCCTATAGACCTTTTGTAAAAAGAAAAAAGGAAAAAAAAAGCCTATATACTTATGTTATAAATATATATATATATATCTTTATATATATATATATATATTATAATTCTAGAATTGAAGCAAGGCATGGTTTGTCCTTGTTATGAATTTAACATCCCTCTGAAGGAATGGTATTATATAAAAAAAAACAAACTAAGCTGTTGTATATCTGTTCAGTTTCTGTGTACTCTGTGGGCTTAAAAGGCTGGAAGATAGAAACAAGGCCAGCTTAATCATATCCACTGTAATATAGGTTTCTTATTTAAAAAAAAAAATATTTTTCCTTGAAGGAAAATCTCAGTTTTAGGTGTATTTTAAGACTATAAAGTTCTGCAGTATTTTGGGTGCACTGGAATGAAATCTTAAGCTGGCTTTGTTTCTGTTACCTGATGTGAAAATACTATGCGCTGATTATTAATGTTGCCATAATATGTTTCAAGCCACACGCATAACTTTAGTGTTTTATATTACTCTGTGCCTTTACACTATATTGTAACATTGTATTCTTTGCCACAACGGTGTATTGTATAAAAAAAATTTCATAGTAACATCTTTCAATATTTTTACTATTAAAAAATAAAAAAGAACCTTTATTAGTGAATGTGGAGAGTTTGCAGTCAATTTCATTTACTGACATTGAGAAAGTGATCGTCAAGAGAAGAAAAGCAGCAGATTTCAAACATTATGCAATTATGGTGGTCAGTCAACATTTAATATGCATTACATGTGTTTCAGTGTTTAAGTGTCACCTATCACTGCAACCTTACTGTGTCTAATGATAAATTGTAGAATTTATGGCATGGAAGTGTTTTTCCCAGTATCCTGAATGTTGCCACTCTATTTTCTTTATCCTTTCCTGGGACAAGGGCATCCATCAGCACATCCAGCACTTTCACCTATTCCTCATTGTCCTTGAGAGCAGTTAAGAGTCAACCACGTTTACCATGGGTTACTACACGTTAGCTAGATGGCAGATATTCCTCCCCTGAACTAAACAGCAGTTGGTGATAGTAATTGTAACCATGAAGCTGAAACTAGCTTTCAATTCCAGATTTTATTACTGTGACTTGAACCCATGTCCCCTGAACATTGGCTTGTGTTCTTTTTGTGTGTCCTAACCCAGTGACATTACCAATGTGCCACCACGCTGTGTGGTGTATTGACTCTACAGCATATATTATTTTTTATTCATTCACAGGATGAGGGGCGTTGCTAGCTAGGCAGCATTTATTGCCCAGAGGGCATTTAAGAGTCAACCACATTGCTGTGGGTCTGGAGTCACATGTAGGCCAGACCAGGTAAGGATGGCAGTTTCCTTGCCTAAAGGACATGAGTGAACCAGATGGGTTTTTCCAACAATGGTTACAAGGTCCAGATATTTATTGAATTCAAATTCCACCATCTGCCATGGTGAGATTCAAACCTGGGTCCCCAGAATGTTATCTGGATCTCTAGATTAACAGTCCAGTGATAATACCACTAGGCCATTGCCTTCCCCTGTTGGAGGATCTTCCACTCAGTAGCTGGTCTGCTTGACTGGCTTGGCTTCCAATCGAATCAGGTGTGCTCCAGTGTGGACTTCAGCCACGGGTGGAGCTGCTGGTCGGGGAAGAGAGGAAGCAGGAGCAGGGATCAATCACTGACCCCTGCTGGCTGGGAGGTCTGATTGTTGATACTGGAGAGTGGAGTATTGGGATATTTGCATAGCTAGGGTCTCATTGTATGAGACTGCAATGTTCATGAAACAAAAAAACTTGGATGAAGTTGGGTGCAGGCTGGAGGCTGCTCTGAGTTTCCCGGCCTTAACTGTAATGACTTTATCCCAAAACCTTTTCAGACTCTCCTGCTCGGTTTCCCAATCACTGGAAGCAAGAATTGCCATGTTGAAACTCATAAGGGAGCTTGTAATGAGGTCAGAAGACCCATATTTGATATAGGTTGAACTTCAAATGGGCATTTCCCCATACTCCCATTACCTGCCAAAAAGTCTTCCACTTTGAGTGGTTCTAGATAGTTACCCAGGAAGTGTTAGACAGAAAATCTGAGACTTATTCTTGGGTGGCTAGACAACTGATATCCACTTCATCACAAACACTGACCCCTGACCCCACCCGACCTGCCTAGTCCCCTAACCTCTCAGCCGCTCCCAATCTGACTCATCTGCCACCTACTCCGTTATTCACTTACTCTACCCACCCTATTCCCTGAAACACTTAGCTTCTCTCCATGGCCTTCCAGAGGAGTCCTGGGACATCCTTCCTTACTGGAATACAGCAGCCAGGGTAGTAAATGGATTGCCTGCATGGCTCCCTCTGACAGTCACTGAGCCGAGTCAATCCCTTAGGATCCTCCAGTGGATCTTTGTTCAGAATGAAAGTAAATGTGATTTTTTTTTTGTCTGAGCATGGTGGAAAACAGGATTTCCAAACTTGAGGGAAAGATCCAGGCCAGGCCACTCGATGCTGAAGCTTCCTCCTCTCAGTTGCTCACTTTCCAATGCGGTCTGTTGTTCTCTCGAAGCTGGAGAGTCTCGTAAGGGCCATCTAGTTTCAAAAGTGTATTTTGCTGCCCTTTGCTGGACAAAGGACACATCACCGTGCCCAATAAAGGGGCAGCATAACGTGCATTATCGAGTGATGGTTCCATTTCCGCATAGCCCCACCCAACAGTCTGAGACTCGGAAACAGCCGTGTCCCTGCGGGAACTGTCGGCCTGCTATCCCAGTCTTGGTTAGAATAATGAAAATACTCATTTATCACTCCTGTAAAGTTCTTGCATCTATCTGCAGTTGGCTCCATGTTTGCTACTCTCTTTCTGTCCCACTATTCGCAGTCCTAATGGGTATTGTATTACAGTCTTCCTACTGTTTGGGAATGTTGATTGTCACAGGCACTTTGTTAAAGGATGGTGACGAAGCTTCCTCGTGCTTCAGTCAGGAATTCTTTCCATGTCAGAAATGTTAGATGAATTAAAATCTGATTTAATTGCTGACCTTAAGGACATGTGTTTCTAAAACATTTTTTTCAAAGAGGATATATTAAACTGACCAGAGATAGCTATTTATACTGGCAACTGAAAACAGTCAGCTCCTGGTCTCTGTTTGGCATCAAACTAATTTGAATTTAACAATTTTCCAAATAAAATACCAAAAGAACTGCGGACACTGGAAATCGGAATCAAAAACAGAAGTTGCTGGAAAAGCTCAGCAGGTCTGGCAGCATCTGTGGAGAGAAATCAGAGTTAATGTTTTAGGTCCAGTGACTCTTTGTCAGAACTCTTTCCCTCTTCACCGTCTCCGATTTTCACTCCGTCATGGAGGATGTTGGTATCAGATCAAGGATAAGGTGTCGGCTGGAAATTTCCTATCCGTGTGTGGCCAGCAGGATGTTCCACACATCCTGGCACTCTGCCTCCCCCTCTCCATCATATTCTCAAGCCTTCATCCATATTTTCCCATGTTTCTCTCCCACTCGGCCATTCAGCTATTACCATTTACAAATTCTCTGGATATGGATCCATCTTTTAACTCCCCACCTGTCCATTATTGCCACCGTTTTGCCTTTGCAATATCAACTTTTCAGCCATTTAAGCACTCTTCTGTCCTCCACACTTCTGTAAACTCTTGGTTCTTTGTTGCCTCATGCCTCCCCTTTGCTCTGACTCTATATTCGCTTCATCTCTATTGATCGCCAATAGCCTCCAGTTCCAATGAAGCTTGACTGTCCTGAAATATTAATCCCATTTCTCTCTCCACAGACACCGCCTGCCTTGACTGGTTTATATTATTCAGTCAGGTCCTACATGCCTCCCAAATGTTACTTTTGCTCACACCAAATATTTTCTATCGTGGGCCAGAAGTTCGGGCAAAACCAACTCAACAGACCGCTACCTCATGGTTGTAAGCTGAGCCTTCATTGAGTTGACTGGTTTAATTGATTAGCTATGGTTGCATGACGTTTGAAACAATCTGGGATTGTCTTCCAAGGAATATCGAACTGATTCCCTGATCTGCTGAAGAGAGTGCAGGTTTGTGGAGTCACCCCTTCTGTTGTAGGCAGCAACTTACTGTCAAGACTTTTTGATTGTCTGGACTCAGAAGAGGCATCTTCTGTCAGACTTTGGCCAAGCAATGCTTTACTCAATTCAAACATTACTGCAATGAATTTTTCAAAATGCAATGCCTTATTGTTTTGAAACAGTTTTTGTAGCAAATCAAACCAACCGATATTTGTTTTGCTCAGCTTGTGTAGGTCTTTTTTGTGTAGTTGTGTCACTTGCAGATAAATTTAATTTTTTTTAAACCTCTTTAGATGTTGAGAAGTTGTTTCCTCGTGGAGGAGAGTCTAGGACCGGATGGTATTATGTTATTAAGGAATCACCCGTTTTAAGACAGAGATGAGGAGGAATTTCTTCTGTCAGAGGGCAGTGAATTTGTGAAATTCTTTACGTCTGTGAGTCTGATTTGTTGAGTATACTCAAGGCTGAAATAAACAGATATTTAATCAGTAGGGGAATTGAGGGCGATGAGGAAAAGTCAGGAAAGTGAAGTTGAGGTTTATCAGATCAGCCATTGAATGGCAGAGCACATTTAATGGGTCAGATGGCCTACTTCTGTTCCTACATCTCATTTGGTCTTGTATGATTCATACTGCCTTTTCAAGCAGAAGGATATTTTGAAACACACAATCACAGACAATCTCTGGTATTTGATATTGAGGAAAAATAGAATTATTAACCCTATGATGCAGTACTCCATTGGAATAAAGGTCAAATTTTAGCCCATGGTAGGTGTAGATCTGTTTGGTGAGGTTACACTATTTGGTCTTGCTGTGATTAGAAATTTCAGAGATGGGAAAAAGCCCAAGTTCTAACATTTGCTCATTCTGTCCACTCAGCTAGCCACATTATTATATCCATTCTCTTGACATTTGGTTCCTGGGCTACTAAATCCTGGATTACTACTTTAACAAAGGGAGGTGAATGGATCAAAAATGTATGTTCTCAAATTGAGATAACACGGTGTAGAGCTGGATGAACACAGCAGGCCAAGCAGCATCATCGGAGCAGGAAGGCTGTCGTTTCGCAGCATCATAGGAGCAGGAAGGCTGACGTTTCAGGCCTAGACCCGCCTGCTGTGCTCATCCAGCTCTACACCGTGTTATCTCAGATTCTCCAGCATCTGCAGTTCCTACTATCTCCATTCTCAAATTGAGTCCAGTTGGGGAGCTGGATGTATAAACAGGACATCAACATATTTTAACTGAGCCTCCTTTTGATCCAGGGTGATCCCTGCTAGTTTAATATATCTTACCTTTTCCAATGTCCTGCTGCAAAGCAATCTTTTCTCCAGTATATAGCCAGTCGTCCATTCTATGGATGCGATATGATATAAGTATAGATATCATTGGTTCACCTCTCCTGATGTCCACCACAAATGATCTCCGGTTGCCAACTTTCTGTGGTCGAATTCTGACCTGCCTCATGTACATGCCTGATGTGTGCATTTTCAGGAGTTGAGGGTGCCAGAGTGGGACCTGTCCCACATTAAGTGGGGATGTTCTGCATACCGCAGTGTCCAGATCTCAAATTATAGAGTCCCTAG